AATTCCCAGCCACCATGGTGGTGGCTCAACCATCTATAGTGAGATTTGGTGCCCTCTTCCAGTGCATAGGCACATATGCAAGCAGAATGTTGTATAAATAATAATATAATAAATAAATCTTTTTTTTTTAAGAAAAAAACTGGCTTATTGGTTGCCATTAAATATATAATTATTTCAAAGTTTTTTACTGTTAAAAAAAAAATCAACATACTAAATATCAACTTCACTCTTTTTAGGGAACATTACTGCAGCAACCAGGTGACCGTGCACCTACTACGTCACTTTCTTGGAAACGTGTGAAAGGATGCAAGTCTAGTGAGCAGAATGGAGTGGAACAAAAGACAATTATTTTAATACCCTCTGGTTAGTTTATTTTTCCTGCTCTTAACCAGCACAAGGAAAAGTTTAAATACCAAAAACATTTTAGGAGGTCTTGCCCCACCCAGATGACAGTGTTTTGTTTGGTTTGGTTTGGTTTTTATTTTGGTTTGGTTTGGTTTGGTTTGGTTCCTTAGAAAGATTAAAAAGTGGTGGGCGGTAGTGATACTGCACGCCTTTAATCCCAGCGTTTGGGATCCAGAGGCAGGTTGATCTCTGTAGGTTTGAGGCCAGCCTGGTGTACAAAATGAGATCCAGACCTGTAAAGGCTACAAATGGAGAGTGAAACCCTGTCTTGAAAGAAGGAAGGAAGGAAGGAAGGTGTATCTTGTCTGCTGGCTGCAGTTCAGGGGTTAGGCATTTCAGAGCAGACTTTGTATAATAAACACTGACAGCAGAAGTAAACTTGATTACACTTACTTGTTTATATAACCAAGGGTTTATTTTACCCAGTACCTACTGCATAGTAGGTGTTTAATCAATTTAATGATCCCTAGGCATCTCTTTGTTTTTCAGATTTAGCATGCAAACTGCTGGGGCAATCACTGGATGAGAGTAGACTGCCACAGCTGACGAGTTACGACTGTGAGGTCAATGCTCCCATACAAGGCAGCAGACACCTACTACAGGGTGAAGAATTACTCAGAGCTCTGGATCAAGTTAACTGAGCTCGTCACAATCGCATTCCCTTTTATTGCTTCTTTTTGTTCAGTTGTTGTTTGTTTGGGATTTTTTGTTTCTGTTGGTTATGTTTGGACACTGGTGGCTCAGCAGTCTATTTATATTTTCTATATCTAATTTTAGAAGCCTGGCTACAATACTGCACGAACTCAGATAGTTTAGTTTTGATCCCCTTTCTACTTAATTTACATTGATGCTCTTTTTAATATGTTCTTTTAATGCGAGGTCACAGCACATTCACAGTTCCTCAGTATTTTCACCATGGCATTGCAGTAGCATCATTTAAAATGCACCTTTTTATTTATTTATTTCTGGTGAGGGAGTTTGTCCCTTATTGAATTATTTTTAATGAAATGACAATATAATTTTTTAAGAAGGCAGTAAATCATCATGATCATAGGCAGTTGAAAATTTTTTACTCATTTTTTTCATGTTTTACATGAAAGTAATGCTTTGCCAGCAGTACATGGTAGCCACAATTGCACAATATATTTTCTTAAAAATACCAGCAGTTACTCATGCAATATATTCTGCATTTATAAAACTAGTTTTTAAGAAGAAATTTTTTTTGGCCTATGAAATTGTTAAGCCTGGATCATGACACTGTTGATCTTATTATGATTCTTAAACTGTATGGTTTCTTTATATGGGTAAAGCCATTTACATGATATAGAGAGATATGCCTGTATCTGGAAGGTATGTGGCATTTATTTGGATAAAATTCTCAATTTAGAGAAATTATCTGATGTTTCTTTAGTTACATTACAAGCTCAAAAGAAAGCAGTCCCTATGTAGTTGTGGAAGCTTATGCTAATATTGTGTAATTGATATTAAACATAAATGTTCTGCCCACCCCGATGGTATAGACATTTTGAGCATACTGTAAACAAAAAAAAAAAAAAATCATGCATTGTTAGTAAAATTGCCTAGTATGTTTGTTAATTTGTTCAAAATATAATGTTTGGTTTTATGCACTTTGTCGCTATTAACATCGTTTTTTTCATATAGATTTTAATAATTGAGTAATTTTAGAAGCATTATTTTAGGAGTATAGAATTGTCATGGTAAACATCTTGTTTTTCTCTATGTACATTGTATAAATTTTTCATTCCCTTGCTCTTTGTGGTTGGGTCTAACACTAACTGTACTGTTTTGTTACATCAAATAAACATCTTCTGTGGACCAGGCCCCCATGGGTCAGCTTCTATGTTTAAATAACGTTTGTTTCAGATTTTTCCAGCTCACAAAATTATTTCCCAAAAATTTAAGTTCTTTATAAAAATTACATTTACATTCATCTTATTGCCATTATCTGATGCGTGATGTGGCCACAAATGACATATTAAATAATGACAAATCATATTACATTGTAAAGAGAAACTCTTTAGAAATTTGCCATTATAAATGTATGAGTCTGTTAAAATATAAAGCACAAAACTTTAATGTTTGCGGTATAAATGGAATAAGTGAAGCAAGTCATGAAACTTCATAATCACACTGTTATAAGGGCTCCAGGTTTCTTTGCGCACTTCTAATCTGTTCCCGTTGGCAAATAAGTCAGAGCTGAGGTATGAGTTTCCCATGCTCTGAGGGTACTAAGTGACAGGTCAGAGAATCTTAGGTCTTAGAATATATCTTACTTAGTTTTGTTTTAATGATAACTGGTATATGACACACTAATATACAGATGCACTTTACACAGTCATACATTACCTGATGTTTCTATACTTTGCCAGCTCAAAAGAACACAGTATCCTAAGTAACTGTGAATTTTAGAAAGTTCCAATAAACTACACATACCTTCCAGCTATCTGCATATCTTTCTATATCATGTATCATTACAGTATTTTACAAGCATTTTTAAATGGCTTTATTCTTTTTCTCTGTTTTCCTTTTGTAAAATCGCTGTTCTGCTTTCACATTCTAATTTTAAAAAAATCAGAGAATCTAGAAAGATATAAAAAATAAAATGGGAGCCTGCTGGAACTCCTGTAATCCCAGCACTTGGGAAGTGGAGGCAGGGTAATCAGGATTGCAGCCCAGCTTTGGCTACCTAATGGCCGGTGTGGGCTACATGAGACGGTCTTGTCTCACAAAAAGAGATCCGGAAGACAGACCATTGTGTACATCTCCGCGCCTAGAGGTACCGGTCTTTTAGAACCCTTCTGTGTGAGGCTAAGGATCAAACCCAGGGCTTCACATGCATACCAAGCAAACATTAACGCTGCTAAACTCGAGCCCAGAAACAGATTGCCACTGACTAGTTACATAACCGGTAAGAGCCTTGTCTTCTAGCCTGGTGTTAACTACTAAACACAGCAAGCTAGGTCTTACAGAGCTGTTCTTATCTTAGGATGAACCAGTGACTGGTTATAAATACAGAACAGCTTGGAACAGTGTAGTAAACACAGTACACCATGTGCCAACATGTGTCCACATCATTTAATTATAGACAGCACCAGAGGTGCTGAATACAGTGTGCCAATTTCACAAGATTTTAAAAGTTCAAAAATATGCTTAACAGAGTAGCTTCAGTTGAAAACTTAAAGCTTCTGTACGGCTTTTCAGATATTTGCAAATCTGTCAATTATATAACAGAAGTCCGGGGAAATGACTTGTGAGCAATGTTCAAGAAGGGAGCTGTAGGGGACATTAGGTACCTACATGCGGTCTCCGAGAAGTCACCTGGAGCACCTAGACTCCAGATGCAATCAGCCACTCCTTCCCAGCCTTGGCCGCCATCTTGGATTTTTCTACAGTGCCTTCCTAACCCTGCTCTGGTATCCAGAGAATTTCTCTTCCCTCCAGGATATCTATGCCACCCTGTTCTCTGGCACGGATATGAAGGCATGATTAGTTTTACTCTCCCCTGACAAAAGTATGACAAAGGGAATTAACATGCTTTGTTCATTTGTTTAGTGTCTCTGTTAGGCCTAGAACTGAAAATGGTTACCCATTATCATGGCTGTTACTGAAGTGCTATGCAAAGTCTGAATCTAAAGGCCATTAATGTCTGTTGAATACTACATGCTAAATTTAATGCCACCATTTTGCACGTTCAGTTAATTCACGAGCCCTGTGAATTCATCCATGTATCTCGTTTCATCCATTACAGATTCTGACTGTCAGTGACTCCGGAGCCTGCAGTCCTGACCAGCATTCCACAGAACACACTGGTTTTCCCACTGCCGAAGGGTTAAGTAGCACAGAGGAAAAGCACAACGAGTAGAAAACGGAGGGTTGGGTGTCACTTGAGTTAAGGTGACTTGTTGGAAGCGGAACGGCAGATACAAATTAAGAAAAGTGTTTTTAAAGCTCCTTAATGGGTTTTGAGTTGGAACCAAAACTTCAGTTCTCCAAATACAAAGACACTGAAGTGATTAGAGGTGTAAGATACGACAAGGCACTTGACATATAAAAGGCTTATGTGAGGATGCGTGTGGCGTTCTCAGAGCTGTTGGAATTAATGGCACAATAGGCATGGTTAAACCTTGTAATTACCATACCGAATCCTAACTTCCTCCTCTAAGCCTTGATAAGAGGTTTGAAAAGTTCAAAGTTCTAAGGCAGGAATGTTAAGCAAGAGTTGGGGAAAACGTGTGTGTGTGTATGGGGGGAGAGTGCTTTTTCTTGCTCCAAAGTTTAATTCAATAAAACCTCAAACACGTTGCTGGCTGGAATCAACAACAACAAGTAAAGAAGAAAACCTATTACCGTGTTTCACGCCTGAGCCAAACCACTCGGCTCTTACTTCTTCCCTCTACGCAGCGTTGAACCTGTTGTCCAGGCTCATTTGCGACTTAGAGCAATCTATTTGCAAAGGATCCTACACCGTCTTCTGTCAGATAAACGCCACACCTCACCACACCCGATCCTCCTAACGCCACCAGGAGCTTCGTGTTCCAATCCTTCGGGGGTCTGGGGATCGATTTTACGCTTACCTGCCAGGAGTGGTTTTTATCCGCGGCGCAGCTCAGACACCCGATCGCCGCTTACTCTAATTCCCTTTATTCGGTCTTGGCTGCGTTCCGGAGCGCGGAGAAAGGCAGGTGCCTGAGAGCGGCGCGGCCCGAGCGGGCGGGCGGGCCGTGAGCCGGGCACTGCTGCTCCGGGCGGGCCCGGTGCTACCTGCTGCGGGTGGAAACGCAGCTCGGGCCGCGCTGGCCCCGCCCCGGTACGTGCCTGGGCGCAGCGCCCGGCCGCAGCCGGCCAGTGTGCGGGCGCGGGACCGCCCGCGGCTCCCGCCTACGTGTGCGAGCGCATGTGCGAGGCTGGTGGGGCTGGCCGCGCCCGGGTCCCCACGCAGCCTGCGGGGACCTAGTTCCCGGTGCGCTCTCGGATGAGGTCCGGCCTGTCCCGGGCAGCCAGCTCTCCTTGGTGGGACAGAAATTCCCGAGGTCTCTGAACACGTTGGATCTTAGCTATTTTAAATGAATATTTAATGTAGTTAAATAAATTAATTAAAAAAAAAAACGAGGAATTACAGCGACGGTGAATGTCCTAGTTTCAGCCCTCCTCCCCTCCCCCCGAGTTCAAGGACAGGGAGCCTTGGTGTCTCAATAAATAAAGAATAGGTAAATTGAATTGCTTAAACAGCCTTCCCCTTTGTGTTTGTTGTGGATAAATCGTCTTGGGGTGTGCCTCATTAGGTATAAGAGAACTTCAGCAGCCCCAGGTGTGGAGTTTCGTTTGGTTGGATCTGGTTTGGGTTGGGTTGGTCCGGCATCCCACCTAGGGCGCCCCGCCCCACTTTTGTAGTTTGCTTAAGCTAAGCCGTTGAGAACCGTTTGGGAGAAGATAATCTTGTTGGACGGATGGAGATGATTTTACAGAATACCGAAGCGCTTGGGGCCTTGAATTTAATCTCTGGTAATCTTAGCGTGTTACGGTGGCAGTTGGCTGTGAAGTCCACAGCCGAAATTTGCTCAAAACACGGAAGCTCGCCCTGCGTGGCCGTGGCTCCCTGAGCTTTGCATTTCCTTTTCTTCAGGGTTGTTTATGTGTCTTCGTAGGAAGTAAAAATAAGTGGTCGAGGTGCAATCAGTACTTTTTGCTAATGAAAACTAATCTGTAGCATGTGTTTGACGACAGAGGCGCCATTTGAAGAGAGCCTTTTGGTCCTGTGGACACTTAAATCATTGTAAAACGGCTGTTGCCTACTGAAATGTTTATCAGTCATTTTTTTAAAGGCTGAACAATCATATATGTTACCCTATATATTATGTACATGCACAAGTGTTTATATTATATACACATGTATTTTGTTCATGTGTATATGAAATATATATATATATATATCATATACACACATATATATTTCATGACAAAAAGGCAGCGGTTCTGTAAAGTCAACTTTATCTTTAGATGTCTTTGAACTAATCAGTCGTTAATTCGAACTCCTGCATATGGAGAGGCTTTCCAAGTGCTTTTCTTAAAAATGGATTTTCAAATGGGTCTGTATACAACAGCAAGACAAAATCTTTCACAGGAAGGCAAATTAAACTGTGGGTGACCAGTGTGAACTGGCAGGACTTCTAGTCTGTTCCAGGACCTTTAAACTGAAACCTAAGCAGAGTAAGCCAGAGAGGAGGCTCAGAGCATGGACACTTGGCTCCAACTATCTGACACCTGGGTGGACCTCCTCATCACTCCTCTTCAATTCCCCCCTCACCGTCTTTCTCAAATCTTCTATGATAATTTTCAGATGTTGCAAGCCCCCCGTTCCCACCCATCCACCTCTGAGCTCTTGATTGTCTTGCAATCTTTCCACTCGGAAGGCACATGGGCCGGGTGTACTTCTTATGTAATGAGAGAACCAGAAAGGCTTCCAGTCATGGCAACAGAGTGGAGACAAGACTATTTTCTAACTTTTCTAGGGGAACACATTTTATTTCTCGATTAAACAAGGCTGCACAAGAGCACTATCCCAGACTGTGGCACTTAGGAGCTGGAGAGATGGCTCAGAGGTTTGAGAGCATTGGCTACAGTTCCAAAGATCCTGAGTTCAAGTCCCAGCAACCACATGGTGGCTTGAAAACACCTATAATGAGATCTGGTGCCCTCTTCTGGCATGCAGGTGTATGTGCAGGCAGAGCACTATACATAATAAATCTTTAAGAAAAGAAAAACAGAGTGTACTTAACTCTTCATATGAGTCCTAGTTCAGGGGTTCTCAACCTCAGGCTCGAATGACCCTTTCACGGGAGTCACCTGAGACTATTGAAAAATACAGATATTCATATTATGATTCATAACAGTAGCAAAATCACAGTTATAAAGTAGCAACAAAAATGATTTTATGGTTGGGGTCACCACAACATGAGAAATTGTATTAAAGAATATCAGCATTAGTAAGGCTGAGAATCACTGCTCTACAACGTTCAACTGTAGTTGAAAAAATACCTTGGCTTTGTTCTTAATATTCTTATGTCTTTAAGTGTTTTGCCTACATATATGTATGTATCCTGTGTGCCTGGAGCCCAGGGAATTCAGAAGAGCACATGGGGTCCCCTGGAACTGGAGTAAAGGACTGTTGTAAGCCCTCAGGTGGGTTCTGGGAACAGAACAAGGGTTCTCTGCAAGAGCAGTGGGTGCTGTTTAACTGAGCCATCTCAACAGCTGCTAGCAAATACAGGCAAAGCCTGTACAGAGGTTATATTAGTTATCTGGGAAATCCCAAATCATTGTCAACTGTCTGTTCCATGAGTTGTCATCTTGCTAATGCAGTCAGCATCGCCAGCCCAGACTGTTCACATTTGCTAAAGTTAGAATGATGAACAGAAGATGTCCTTGCACAAGGATGGCATGCAAGTTCATGAAACATTTCACATTAAAAAGTAGAACAAACCAAAATACTGAAGGCCAACAAGCTGGTTCAGTCGTTAAAAGCACTTGCCTTGAAAACATGATGGGGGCTGGAGAGATGGCTCAGAGGTTAAGAGAACTGTCTGCTCTTCCAGAGGTCCTGAGTCCAATTCCCATGCAACCACATGGTGGCTTACAACCATCTATAATAAGATCTGGTGTCCTCTTCTGCCCTGCAGATGTACATGCAGACAGAACATTGTGTACATAATAAATAAATAAAATATTTTTTAAAAAAAGAAAACATGATGACTAGTTCAGAGAGATGGCTCAGGGGTTAAGAGCAATGGCTGCTCTTCCATAGGTTCTGAGTTCAAGTCACAGTAACCACAGAGTGGCTCACAATGGTCTATAGTGAGATCTGGTGCTCTCTCCTAACCTGCAGGTGTACATGCAGGCAGAACACTGTATACATAAATACATAAATAGATCCCTAGATCACACATTGGAAGAAAAGAACCAGCTCTCCAAAGTTGTCCTTTAAGCCGGGTGTGGCTTATTTCCATTACTCTGGAGGCAGAGGCAGGACAATTTCTGTGATTCATAGGCCAGACTGCTTATATAGTGAGTTCCGGGACAGCCAGAGCAAACACTGTCTTAGCTCAGGTTTCTATTGCTTCAACAAAATGCTCTGACCAAAAAGTGAGTTGGGAAGAAAAGGGTTTATTTGGCTTACACTTCTCACTCTTCAGCATTGAAGGAATTCAGAACGGGAACTGAAACAGGGCAGGAACCTGGAGGCAGGAGCTGACACAGAGACCATGGAGGGGTGCTGCTTATTGGCTGGCTTCCCATGACTTGACCAGCCAGGACCGCCAGCCCAGGGGTGGGATCACCACAATGGGCTGGGCCCTCTCCCATCAAGCACTAATTAAGAAAACACCCTTCAGCTGTACCTTATAGAGGCATTGTCTTAACTGAGGTTTTCTCTTTTCAGATAACTCTAGTTTGTATCAAGTTGACCTAAGGAAGACTAGCCAGCACAGAGGCCCTGTCTCAAAACAATTGCCCTCTGATTCCCACATGTGCACCATGGCACCCATATATCCACAGTTGTGCACCCAGATTCTATGTATTCACAAGCATAGACACAAATACTGCTATCGATAGTGACGATGATGATGATTACAACAAAGTGACAAGCAGGCCTAAGGTCCCCTGTCTCTCAAATGGCTTTTCTTCTTGCATCCTTCCTCAGTAAACAGCCACACTTATTCCAGAAACCAGAGCCCTGGATGCCACTTACCACCGTTGCCTTTCCCACCGCCTAATCCTGTTTCTTTCTTTGAGTTTTTATCATGGAGCCTAGATGTGGGCTGCCCTGCAAGGTCATGATTTTTGTTCCTGAACTGAAACAGTACCCAGAGGAGGGACACCCAAGAGCCATTCTGCTGTGTCTGCCATTCCTGAGGCAGCGCGGTGTCTCGCTCCAGAATCACCCAGCACCAGCTCAGCAGTCCGAAGCTCTCACCTACACGGCCAGGCCTTGGGATCTATATCGTCCTAATTTTTACCATTTTCTTACCCTGGGCACCGGTACTCTCTCTCTTAGCTTATTCCCTCTTCTCTATGCCTTGAGCTTGCCTTTCTCTGTGTCTGCAAGACTCTTCCTATCTCATCTCTGACTCCTCTGAGTCCCTTTCTCAGAACTCACCTCTTACGGACTGCGTTCTGCGTTCTCCTATGCGTTCACGTCACTGTGCTTAACTCTTATGTACTATCTACTTGTAGTGGATTGTTCTGTGCTAGCTGGTTAGCAAGTCTGGGATAAGGACCATGTGTTTTTTTTCTGTTGTTGTTGTTTTAAAGATTTATTATGTATACAGTGTTCTGCCTGCATGTACACCTGCACTCCTGAAGAGGTCACCAGATTACAGATGGTTGATGAGCCACCCTGTGGTTGCTGGGAATTGAACTCAGGACCTTTGGAAGAGCAGCCAGTGCTCTTAACCTCTGAGCCATCTTTCCGGCCCAAGAATCATGCTTTTAAACGGTTCCCCAGAGAGCTAGATTCACCCTCAGTTTAAACAATTTTACTTTTTTGTTTTGATTTTCATTTTTGTTCTTTGTTTTGGATGAGAGAGACAGAAAGCATGAAACTGACTTGGTAGGAAGGTGGGGAGGATGTGGGGTAAGTTGGGAGAGGGCAGACATGGTCAAAATACATTGCATGAATTTTTAAAAATAAAAATAAGTAAATAATTTTAAAGCAATCATTAGATGTTTCTTGAAATCTCCCAAAGGGAATACAGTGACTACAGAAATAGTTATTCAATCAACCGCT